AGCCTCACCCACACGAGCAGCGAGAGCAAAACCGGCTTGAAGAGGACGGGAGATCTGGGACCTGCACAACACACTGCTCCCTCTCCCCACATCTGACCCTGCCTTAAGGAGCCTTGCTCATCCCTCTGCATCTTCACAGCCCTGATGATCACATTCTGCTACTTGCAGCTTCCAATTAACCTTCTTGTAGCTAATCACAGCAGCGGGGTCTACCCTAGGCCACCCCAGCACAGCCAGCCGTGCCCCAGGCAGAGCAAACCCATGGCAAGCAGGAGCTGCCTGCTATTAACAGCTGAACCTCCAATGCCTCCTGAGGGCAACTACCTCCTAAAACTGACTTTCAGGCACTTCCCACATAAATCCTAGTGGCCAAAACGACTTTTTTTTTCTCCGCTTTTAATACTCTCCTCCATAAAACTCACGTCCTGCCTGCAATACTTCTGGTCGAGCTGTCTGCTTACACAGGTGGCTGCTGACGCGTTTCCCCAGGTTTATATAAACTGTCTGTGCAAACCAGCATCTGAACAGGAGAGGAGGAAAATCCTGTCCTGCCACATCCCTGACAGGACGGGGGTGGAAGCGCCAACGCAGAGACAGGAGCTCAGCGCCGCAGCAGAGCCGCTCGGCGTGGGCTCTGCCCCGTGTGACGTGAGGAGCCAAGTTTGGACAGGAGAAGTCCCGTGCTGGGTGAACCTCAGGGACAATTTTAGCTGGTGAATGAGTACGTGGAGGTTACGTCTGCAGCCGAAACCCCTCAAGCAGGCAGGTGACAGCAGCAGCACACGAACGGAGAGGGCTGCGCTCAGATCTCCGGCATCTCCCCCGGAATTTGCTATGCCGCAGGCAGCGGAGCCTGGATCCAGCCTGTGCTGCTCGCAGAGGGATGGTGCCACATGTCTCCCAGTCTCCTCCCAAATTTGTTTCCTCAGTCATAAAAATTATGGCCAGGTGCCAAGTTTCAGAGGGAAGAAGAAAAAAAAAAGAAGTCCAACACACAGCAATATTCAGGAGCATCCAAGAGGATCTTAGCTGCAAACCAACAGCCTGCCTGTTCAGATGAATGAATGACTGAGCCCAGTGAAAACCTGGGCACTGGGTCAGGAATGCAAAGCTGTAAGAGGCTCTTGCTGTGGCTCCGCTTGGGTTGAAGGATTCGGAGAGCTCCTGCATCCCTGCAGCCTCTCCTTCCACGTGCACATGGAGCAGGGCTCAGAGTTGTCACTGTCACCTGCCTCAGGAATTTTTCTGTGCATGGCCCGAAATCTGCACGAGCCACCCGAGCAGAGGGACGCAGCCTCCACCCAGCCCCCGGATGCCGATGCCAGCAGCGACTGCCCATCTTTGCCAGGGAGAAATGAGGAGCAGGAAACACATCCTGAGCGCCCGTCCGCCGCGTCACGGCAGCAACAGGGCTGTGTGCTGGCCCTCTATTCGTGCACGTGCAGGGACAAGCAGAAGCGTGTTTGCTGGGACACAGGTCATGCATTAGCACCGAGAAAGCTGCTCTGTATTCCCTAGCACTGCGCATCTCCTCGCCCACTCCCTCATCCCAACAACTCTTCAGGGGGAGCCCCGCAGGCAGCCCAGGGGAGGGTGGGAGAAGCGGCACAGGGTGCTGGCACTTGGGCACAGCCGCATCTTGCAGTGGGCAGCTCCCAGGTGACCTGGGAAAAGGACTTGAGGGACTGAGGACACGCATGACACCGTCAAACTCTGCCCCTGGAGAGGTCCCAAAGGAGCAGGACAGTGCAGGACATCCATCCTCACGCTAGCTGACCTAAACCAGGCACTTCCAGTCTCATCCCTCCTCTCTGACACAGAAACTGGATTCACTTGACCCTTAAGAAGGTGAAAAGCAGTAGTGCCACAAAGACCACCAGCTTCAGCACGGCACACAGAGCCTCCCCTCCCGCCTAAACCAGCGGCACCCGCCAGAGCAAGAGGCAACACAGAGATTGCCAAGGGAGCCACAGACGGGGAGGACAAGGGGCTGGCCAGGAGCAATTTCACCCCCACTGCTGGTTCAAGCCTGCCCTGAGCGTGCTGTGAGACCTCACCTAGAGGAAACCCACAATGCTGGCACCACCACGGGGTACAGGTCTCAAGAGGGCTCAGCAAACAGCCCGGGCTGCTCCGGGGGCTTGCTGCTGCCTGGGGCAGCACAGGGGCTCAGTCTTTCCTTCCTTTCTTTCAGAGAACACAAGGCACCAACACGGATGCCGTTACTCCAACGTAACAATCGCAGGGGAATTCAAAGCCAAAAGCAAACCAACTTCTCCAGCACCAGCAGCTCCAAGGCCGACACGCTGCTTTCTGTGACAGCTCTCACCGTTCTGGTTAGACCACACAGCACTCGCTCAGCAGACGGACACGGCTCCTGCTGCCCAGTCAGACTGGCCGACATCCAGTGTTATCGTTACCAAGGGCTATTTGGGGACCCAGCTCCAGTGAACACGGTGTTATCAGGTTCCTTCAGTGGGCGAGTGCTCATGCTACAAGAATTACTGCAAGTGCCACGGGCCAAGTGGGCCTTGCAGAGCAACACGCTCTCATCGTCAGGGAGCATCATCCAGCAGCTCTTATCAGACCCTCCCTGGCTGAACACAGCTAATGCCCTTTGCCTATTTTACACTGGAAAAAAAGTACCATTTTCCTTTTAAAAGGAGTGTGACTGGCCTGACTCCTTCCCAGGAATATTCAGGTTCAATCACAGCATCACTACAGCCATCAGCCTCTGGTGGACAGGAGAAAGAGCTGGCAGATGTGCCTTGATGCTGGGGACATCTCCCCATGTCCCAGGCTTCCCAGAACATGGAAATGCTCATGTACTAGGAGAGGAGTCACTGAGTCTGGACGGCAGAAGGGAAGAGGCCAGCCATCTCCCACACCACTTGCCAGCTGCTGGCTTGTCCCACAAACCATGTACCATGCCAAGGCTCTTAAAAACACAAACTGAACTGAAACACTTTTGCTCACTTAAAAATCCATCAGAGTCTGGAGCTGGTGACGGTGATGTGCAAGGAGCAGAACACATATGCACAGACAGGGAGGAAAACCAAGGGGCTACCAGAAGCACTCGCCCACCCAAGCCCCAGGGAAAATGAAGCAGTGCAGCTATTTACAGACCTGCCAGTTACTGTCATGTCGTAACAAGACCAAACAGCCTGAGCAAAGCTAACTACCTACCCACGATTCTAAGAAAAAGTGGGAACACGAATTCCTGTAATTGTAGTCCACTGAACTTAGGAGGGGAAAGGGGAGGGCAACGTTTCAAGAGCCCTATTTACAGATCTGATACACACCTCATAGGATAGGGTGAAGTCAACAACAGTCATAACTCCACGGAGCAATGCTATCAGAAGTGTCTGCAGTCTGAGATGCAAATACCCAGCCTCAGGTCAGACTACCTCAGGCTGCCCTGGCTCCCATCCCCTCCGGGGCACCTCTCTTTGCTGCTGCCCTCAGCATCCCATGTCCCACCAACACAACAAACTGGGCAGCTCTGACAGATTCTCTTCCCTGAGGGGAGCTCCACGCACGTGCCAAAAGTGCTCAGAGCAGAGAAGTGTCCCTGCCCGCTCTCCAGCCTCACAAGGTCTTTATTTAAACAAGCTGCCCTGTTTCACCATGTTACGTAGGTCTAGAGCTTGCACAGACTTTGCTGTACCACAGCACTGGTCTCCAACAACAGATCTCATCTCTGGTATTCTGTCCAGCTCACTGAGTAACTAGCTCTGCTGTGAGGACAGTGAAAAGACAAGGTCAAACACTCTGAAATTCAGATTCTGTGCTTGCACAGATCAGAATTGGGGCAGACAGGTTTTGCCTTGGACACCACAGTCAGATACAAGCCATCATGAGAGCTGTTACCTGGCCCAGATGGTCACTATACCTTAAAAGAGAGAGATTTTCTTTTTTTATTTCCTTGGTGGTAGATAAAAGAGTTCAGAAAACAGTGTTTTTTAGCATACAGAGCCATAAGTTAAATAATGAGAGTTAAACACAGCCACTGAAATTAAAGTGACATTGACAGCAGCAGACACGCAGCTCCCTGATGCACAGAAGTGTTTAAATCCCTCAGACAGCTTCGAAAATCACCACCACAGCTCTTCTCCCTTGGAGGGGGAGGCAATCAAACAAGCAGGACAGAATCCCAGGAGCCACGGCTCAGCTCAATTGATTTCCACGCAGCTGCTCTGCTGCCACTGCTCTCCAGAATCACATTCTCCTGGAATTAAGTTACGGCACACTTTGGAATTGAAGTGGTTGCAAAAACCACCATAATTCTGCTCTGCAATAACCCCTGTGACACAATCTCACTGTAGCAAGTGTTTTTCTTGCAGACCAAGCAAAACCCGCACCCAGAGGGCACTGCTTTCCCCCGCGTGCGGGCGCTGCTGGAGGGCACAAAGCAGCGCTCTGCTCCGCGCCGCAGCACCGGCCTCGCTACGGCCTGGGTGCCTTGGCCGACCCTGACAGCAGCAGCGCTCAATCCAGAGCTCGGTTTCAAACGGGAAGCGGGTGCTCATCCCACGGGAAGAGGCTGACGTTTCAGTAGCCAGGCACAGCCACGCTGAGCCGGGCCCGCAGAGGCGGGTGAGATCCTGCACAGGCCGCGGGCACGCCAGCCCCCGCTGCCCGGCTCATCCCCACTCACCGCCATGTACGGCCGGCACCCTGCATCCCGCGTTTTGGCAATGGAGTCCACAAGCTGTCCGCTAATGCCGAAGTCACAGAGCTTAATATTTCCGTTTCTGTCCAGAAGAATATTGGAAGGTTTGATGTCTGCAAGGAAAAGAAATTTAAACCAGTAAGTCACAGCTGGAGGTTCCAATTTCAAGAACAGCAGCTGCAGGGCATTGGCACTGTCAGCGCCACGCAGTCACCATCGCCCCATCACTGGACGCACTCGCCTCCGCTGGGGATCCCGAATGGGAGCAAGAGGAGCTGGAGCCAGCCCCGAAGATGCCACGTGCCCAGAGGCAGAGATAGACACCCAGACACCTTGAAACCACACTTTTACGGAAAAGCACAGACTGAGGAGGCAACGAAACAGCCACTGGGGACACTCTTGTGCATAACCTGTACACATACTCATGGTAGTACATAGGCTAATTACACTGTGACTTGAAGCAAAGGCCACTTAAAATTCTCGCAATTATTTTTGTAGGCAAGAAGAAAAGACATGAACTGACCTCTGTGAATGATTTTCAAGTTTTCTTTTAAGTGGTTTAGTGCTTTCACAGTCTAGGAAAGAAAAACAGGTGAGAAATAAGCAGATGTCCTAAGATTCCTGTGATTGTTAGACTTTTACAGGATTGTTAGAATTTTACAGGGCTCCTTAAAGGGAGACCGTGGGCTCCGTGTAGCAGGGCTGCACTCAGGTACCCCGGGTGGGATTCATCTCACTTCGCCACCGAAGGCACCACGAGGTGGGAACTCGGCTCCCACACAGAGGCGCCAACCTCTGCCCACTGACAGACAAGGGAAGGGGAGAGAGCTCATCTGTTTTAGGCACCCTCCCTGGGATGAGACAACCAGTGCCCTGCTTCCACTGATGCCACCACCAGTGTACGTGAAGGAGGGGTTGGTGCCTGTGCTGTCAGTGCCGATGTTCAAGCAGATGGAGCAGGGAGGTGGTCCTGGCGTCTCTTCATGAACTGATTAGAGACCCCGGGACCTGCTTTTCCATCATGCAATATTCTATGGAAAAGTCAGAGTATACTCAAGGATCATTAAAAGCACGGTGCAACACCACAGCAGCAGTTCTGCTGCAAGCAATCAACCAACTTTATCACACATCAGCGGAAGAGATCTGAATTTTTCACGTTACCTTCAAAAATATACACAAAAAGGTTTAACAAAATACTCACAGCTAAAGTGATTTTGCCTAGGATTTCTTCTGGAATAACATCATCTAATACACTATATACATATTTGTAAAACTTATCAAACGAGGTAGACATAAGCTCCATACAGATCCAACAGTCACCCTGGAAAGAGAAAAGAATCTGTGTTACTGTCAAGACAAAAATGAGAAACAGAAATCCAGAAAGAATAAAGAGATCCCTTGAATCCAGCAAAATACATTAACAGCAACATGCATTTGACAGGAAGGATGGAATTCACCTCCAGTCATTTTAGCAATGGAAGATCCGCTCCTATATGCACCCCTCTCCCCCACTCTGTTCACCAGCAGAGGCAGCGAGCTGACCAGCTCAGACCTGATACTATATTTGAGATGCCTGAACCCAGATGAATCCAAGTTTCAAAACCTCTCTCAAAAAGCTCTCCAGAAGGCTGCAGGCACAGTGAAGCACCAGCAGGCACAGTAAGACTGAAAAAAAATCCCTTCAGTTTATGACTACCCTGCAGAGGACAGAGGACATTTCACACAACATTTGGAGATACCATCTAAGCACTAGAAAATGAAAATAAACCCAAGTATGTGGGGGGTTTTGTCAATTTGCATCTTACAGTTAAACAATTTAAACACAGGAAATCGTAAAGCATACTAGTAACTAAGCCAAGCCATACTAAACCAAGCTAAGCTTAACTACCATAGGAGAATAACACGTCTTTCTATCAAACTCCTGAGATCTGTAAATCGACCCGCTCACAATGGATTCACTGGGGATGAGAAATGGATCCCCGCAATACAGAAGGACTTCATCTTTTGGTTTAGTACGTATCCATCCACCATATGGTGATGGACAGTTTAGCCATGGATTAATCTAAGTCGTTTTTTTTTCCCCCCACATTTTGTCTCCAGTTGAGGACAACAGAAGGCTTTGCATGAGCTATTTCTGTAGACTCTCAGGCACTTCAGGCAACTCTTCTTTGCTAGAAATACTAAAACACCACAACTAGTCCTGTCCTCACCAGAAATTACGTACTCATACCTACCTTCTACAGGCTGCAAAGCTACATGCAGAATGGAGCGGATCAGTCTGGTTACCGCATCCTGGCTAAATACCAGCTAAAACACTCGTGCAGGGAGCAGCAGCTTGTGCAGGTAGTGCTGCCCTGCGCTGCCTGGGTGCTGCAGAGCATGGGGTGCCTGTCTGGTTATAACTACGCTGCGCACTCCTGTGATATAAGAAGCAACAAACAGAAGAGAACTTTCCCCAAGTAATTATCCTACAGAAGACAGATTTTTTCCTAACCAGAAAAAACACACACCAAAATCTGCATTAATACACGGAAATGAAAATAGGAAAAAACCCCTCGGGTGTGGGCATGCTGGAGGTGTGGCAAAGCCCCGTGCTCCCATCCTGCACAGCCAAGTCACTTCTGTTGGAAGCAATCTCCTGGCGATCACAAGAGTCAGGAGCAATTCTTAAGTCATATTTAGCTGATGGAAAAGCTTGTAAAGCCACACGTTTTAAGGCCAAAAAGGGCTTTTCTGCCACTCAGAATGACCTCCTGTGAAACACAAGCCAAGGAACTGCCTCTGCCAAGATGCCTCCTGTCCAAATGCCTGGTTTAGCAGGAGCAGAAGTGCCCAGCAAAGGTGATGCCAAACACGGCAGGCTGGTATCAGCAGAGGCAGCAGTGCCACCCCAGCTTGGTCTTGGGCTGCTCACACACGTTTTTTCATCAATACAGAGAGCAAACTGCCAGAACCGTCCCACGTGCTGCCAGCCTTACGGATGCTGCTGCTTTAGCGCCAGCAAATCCATCGCCACCTCCTGCCAAAGGAGGGGTGCTGCCTCCAAGAGGAGAGTACTCTCCCTTCTGGGAGAGGGACCTGCTTTCCTAGGAAGGGCTGAGCTGCTGGTGGGCTGGCTGGGGAAGACGACTGTGGGTTCAGAGCCATGGGCGGCCCCATTTCACACTGCTCATTTGGGACCAGGCTTTTTACATCAGCACAAGGCAGAGTGGGAGCTAATGTCATCCACCCAAGGGAAACGTCTGCTACGAGCCCGAGCTCAGAGAACATGCATTTCACCCAAAACAAAGCCGAATGGACTGATCGAAAAGGTGCTGTGCCAGACACGGAAGCAGAGACACCACAGTGAAAGAAGAAAGCACAGCACTGTGGGAAGAGGGCACAACCAGCGTTTCAGAAGACATTGAGAAAGGTGAATTCAGGCTGCTAGAGAACAAGAGATTGGCTATGAATGCATTTGGCTGAGGACCTGCTCAGATTTAAACTACAGAGTGCAGTTGAGGCACTTCTGTATTACCAAGAGCGGCTCAGAAAAAGCAACGTGGATCCAGCGCTAGTGACGTGCATAAACCAAGCGAAGCTGAAGCCACACCAGACCCTTACAAGCTCTCTGTAGCAAAAGCAAACGTGGGCTTTTCTACTGGCTGCAAGATCGTTCAAAACATTGCTTCTGCTTTGACCAGCTTTACATAAAGAATGGGTACTGCACTGTATTCCCATGTTATTGTACTTAGACTGCAGGGGTTGAATCTGCTCAGGAACGCCAGAATATTACTGACCACCTGCAGCCTTGTATTTATGTCCCTTCGCACCAAGACTGGGAGCGTCTTCAGCCGCCCAGGTTACAGTGGCTGGTGTTTGTACAGCAAAAGCAAACTGAAGCGAAACAACAGGCAACCTCATTAGAGCTATTATCATAAAAAAGCTTTGCAATATACTTTGTGCATCTGAGGGGAGTTGGTGTTACTGAAAAGTACAATAAATTGTTAGCCAATGTTAATTTAAGCATAAAAAACCTGTACATGACCAAAAGCACCAAAGGAAAGCTTTGGTTTACTTGTTCCCCTGAAGTACATGTCATACAGAAATCCTGGATGTGGGCATTTATTGATCTGGTAATCTAAAAATCTACCTGATCAACATGAATTCATGTCATCAAGATCAATGAAAAAAGATGACAGACCTTTTCAATCACGCAGCTTCACTAAGGCTGGTGGCAAGATTCAAAACTCTACAGGTTCTTAGCTCTTAGCTCTGGGACTTGGAAAGACTTATCTGTTGGCAAAGTTGATGAATTTTACTGAGAACAAAAAAGGAAGACTGGCAGAGATGACTGGGTACCAGTCACTCAGCCCCCTTTCTGATCAAAGACAAAAAAATGCTGATGTGCATGGGAGAGTTCTGCTTCACTAATGCACATCTTGTAGGCATTCCAAAAAATGCTCAGGAACACTTGGTGCATTTCATTCAAAATATCATTGTCCATCTCCAGGACATATACAAAAACTGCTTTACCAGTGACTGGGACGCTCCAACTTCTCAACGCAGAGTCCCGAGTTCCCAGCTGACAACTGAACACGTCGCAAAGATGCCACCCAGCTGGAACACAGCCTGGCAGAAAAGGACCTGTGAGTCCTGGTGGACACCACATTGAACACGAGCCAACAACGTGCCCTTGCTGCGACGAAAGCTGACAGTACCCTGGGCTGCACTAGGCAAAGCGCTGCCAGAAGATCGAGGGGCGTGATCCTTCCTTCCGCTTGACTCAGCACCGGTGAGGTGAGACCTGGAGTGCTGCGTCCAGTGCTGGGTTCCCCAGTACAGGAGAGACATGGTCATACTGGAGAGAGTCCAGTAAAGGGCCACTAAGATGACCGAGGGACTGGAGCTTCTCTCCCATAAGGAAAGGCTGAGAGAGCTGGAACTGAGGGAGCCTGGAGAAGAGAAGGCTCAGGGGGATCTCACCAATGGGAGGGTGCACAGAGGACAGAGCCAGGCTCCTTTCAGCGGTGCCCAGTGACAGGACCAGAGGCAATGGGCACAAACCAAAACCCAAGAAGTTCCCTCTGAACATCAGGAAACACTTTTTCACTGTGAGGGCGACTGAGCACTGTCACAGGTTGCCCAGGGAGGCTGTGGAGTCTCTGTCCCTGGAGATATTCAAAAGTTCTTTGGAGTGTTCCTGGTCAAGCGGCCCTAGGTAGCCCACTTGAGCGTGGGAGCTGGACAAGGCAACCTCCAGAGGTGCCTTCCAACATGCACCATCCTACGATTCTGTGCTACCAATACCGAAGGCTCATCACGTCAGCTCACTGCACGGAGTGGCCAACTTTTCACACAAGTTGCATCTACATTAGTGAGAGAGAATGAAGAATGCCATCGCCCTCACATGTCCTTACGTGACACAAGGGGCATTTTGCCTATAGACTAGGGACTGACCACGGGGACACATGCCTTGAGTAACACCAACAGAGACAAACATTTCCGTGGAAAAAGGGTGTTGTGCATCAACAGCAAAGAGAGCAAATGCCTTGTATCAGCTGACCAAGGATATGTCCACAACTCATACCAACAACAGCACCGTGCTACTGACACATCCATACTAGCTCTTCTCTCCTACCAGCAGAAGCTCCCCATGGGCTAATTTACCTGGCTTCCTGGCAATGTTTTGCAACTTGCAATGAATTTTTCATTGAATAATTTTATCAACTATTGAGCTTGTTGGTTTAAACTTGGCTCGGCTACACGTGCATTTTGTAGGAGTCGCTGCTGAGATCCCAAGTTAGACAAGGCTTTTTTCCCCTTTCACTCTTGAGAAGAAAACTAACAGGAATAGTTACCTTGAAAAAGCAATTAGTGTGGTCTTTACAACTAACCAAAGATTCCCAGCCTCACAGGTACTGTCTCAAACTAGATTAACTGTAAAGCTTCCAGCAGACATGCAAGAAAAGATCGTTCTTTTCTCAGACCTAAAGACCCTCTAAGCAGCAACACTTGGGGCAAAAGTCTCAGGGCTGCCCAGCGCAGTCCTATGGCTCAGCCCAACACTCCTCTCTTCTCACTAGAAGAAAGCGACTCAAGGGAAATCTTTGCAGAAACCCTAGGTATAACTACCCCTTCTGTACTTTCCTCCAGGCCTTTCTCTTTCTGATTCTCTTCATTCTCCAGCCTTTACCACATGCAACTTTCTTCTCTCTTCTGTTAAGAAGCCAGGCTGTGGACATGAAAACCATTTCAACTGCCACACATTACAACATCAGTGCTCAGGGATTCTTTCTGTTATTGAAAAAAAACGTTCATTTTTTCCTACCTAGGATCGTTAGAGACCCAAGTAATAGAGCAGGCCCCTCACCAGCTGCATGACAAGAATGACGGATGCTGCACCATCACGGGGAGGTGAAACATGGTGACATGAAGGTCACAGCATGACCAACAAGAGCAGGAGCAAGCCGAGTGCTGTCCCATGGAGAACCTGCCTCCAGCACGTGCGGTGTGGCGTCAGTGCAATGAAGCCCCTGACTCCATGCAAAGGCTGAAACGCTGCCTCCTATTTTTCAGCTTTGCTCCTGTTTCATTCAACAGGCAATTTAATCTCATCTAATGGGTGCCGATAAACTCAAGCAAAGTCCTGTACCTGGCAATTCACTGGTCGTTTTGCATTGTTACACATTACATCATACACACTGTTTTTTAAGGATGTCCCATGTGATTGAAGAACAAGAAGCAAACAATGTGAGCTAAGATGCTGCCTTCTGAGGGACAGGCAGGACCAGTTCCCAGAGAAGACGCTCCTTATCAGAGAATGCTTACTGAACAAGTGAGACAGAATACAACTAGGGAGAAATATTTGTGCAGTAATTTTTGCCTTTCCAAATCAAACTTTTCTAGGCTGCCATAGTAACTTGTCTATTTACACTTACCTTCCTGACTGCAAGCTGGGACTTGTCTGTCTTCAAAATAAGACCTTGAGCAGTTTTGTCCAATTTGGTTAGGTATTCCCACTCCCCAAACGGTCAGGATTCAAGAGTTTAACTCTGCTTCTCTGCATCAACAGCTCACTCTTCTGGAAAGGCTACCTGCATTTCAAAACAGCCCAGCTGCCCTGCTGCTGTTCCTGAAGCTGCTATAATCTTCTTGACAATCATTTAATTGTGAGAGCCACCTACTCAACATTTAAGCTCCTCCACAGAGGCTCAAATTGATGTCTTTCATCTTTTAGGAGCAGGCAGAAGAAGACTTCCCATCTGTAGCTCCATTCATTCCTGGAGAATCTGAATATTGGCTCAGAGCAGGCGGTCCCAAGAGGATCTGTCTTTTAGAACTTACTTCCTTGCTTTTCACTTCGAAATGCCAGAAGAAAGAGCTTTGTTTATACATGCTTTGCTGTAGGACTTCCTGAGAGAGGTTCAGTCTTTAGCAACACCCCATGAGCTCTTATAATCCAGGGGATGCTGCAGCAGTGACCTGGATCGTGCACAGTTATTTGAGAACAGATCTGCTAAGCAGAGCAGGGGCTGAGCCAGGTTCAAATATACTGGTGAAATTCTTGGTTTCCCTTTCTGTGCCCCTCTGCTGTCATAATTTCCTAGCTTCAAAAGATGTAATTAATATTAGAACATGTCATTAATATGACAAGACAGAAAACCTTATCCAAGCATAGCAGCTCACCCGGTGTACCTTTGACGTACGTGACTTGGCACTAAGGGACTGAGGAGAGGGGAAGGTTGCTTAAATCTCAGAAGCAAACACCACTGACGCTGAGGGTGAGGGGGAAAGTGGATTCCAGGGACCAACATGATATAACCCAGAGTGATCTTACTGAAACCTTTCCCAGACGGAGCATGCAAGAAGCCCTGCCTGGCTGCAGGAGGACAGGATTTTTGGTGAAGGGGTGCAGCAGAAGCTGGGCTGACATTCGAGTGCTGATCAAGGCAGGTTTTTATACATATACAATTTATGTAGTTATACTTACATCCTGGGATGTGCCTAGAGCTGCAGAGAGGTGACACGCTTGCACAGCTCTGAACATGTTGCTCATCAGCATCTGGCAAGACACTGTCTAGCCCAGAGACTCTCCTTCACACCAGCTGACAGCCTCATCGTTTGTATTCCAGCACAGCTAGGAATTTTCAGCCAAGGCTGAGGCTCCACACTTGGTAGGAGCTTGTACTGTGTGAACATGGACAACGCCTCCTGGCCCAAAATGGCTTTGTATTTAAATAGATAAGAAAAAGCAGAGCATGGGAAAAGAAAGGATTATTATCCTTATTTTAGGGACTGAGATTTAAAGCCAGGGGAGTGACCTATCAAAATTACTGAGGCAGGAATTGAATATCCAGTTCCAGTTTTGGGCTTTAATGACAACATTGACCTTCTTTCTCTAACAGTTTCCCGGTAAAACCCCGCAAGACTGCACAGGCTGCTGTGCCTGATAATACTCAAAGATGACTGGTGGCCAAGTAGGTCTCTATCTTCCTTCTTTCCTTGAGTAGATGTACCGGATTTGTGCTGAAGTATTGGAAAACAGGCAAGGCTGCATGTCTATCTCCCTATACTGTGCCAGCTTCAACACCAGGGCAATTACAGGAGGAATAATCCACATCTGCAGGAGAGCTGCAGGAGCTGCTGCTCTCAGGAGGAAGGGGATGCAGTCGTCACGTTTTGACATTAATCTTCTCCAAAACTCTTGTTCTTGCAAATGGTCCAAATGCTTGCAATCCAGTGCTGCTCACCAGTGCTGTGTTCTTGTGCCTGCACTGAACAGATTCAGTTCAGCCTGATGACCGGCCTCCAACCACGGCGTAAGACTGTCTGGGTTGCATGGAGAAGGCCAGCTTCCCAACTGTTTTTACTGGTCATTCAAAGCTAAATAGCAATGGAAGTGTCTGGGCAAAGCACAAGGAGATAGAAGGACACCCTCTGTGACCCTGCAGCATAATATCCACCTTAAATTACATCAAGCAGATGCTAAAACAGTCACAAACATGCAGTGATTAACATCATATTCCTGGCCAAGAACAGCTAAAGTGTGTCAGGATTAACGGTGGTCAGCTGACGTAGCTTTCAATGCTCTAATTCTGTTCTTCACTTGGAAGCACTCATGGAAGCACCACGTTGAATAACCCAGCCCACAGCACACGCTATCTATGTGCATACAAGGGCCCAGCAAAATTACAGCCCCTAGGCTAGCTATTGCAGATACTGCTCCTTTCCAGAACAGTCATGCAATTTTGGTCTCTGTCCCAAAAGTACACAGCAGAACTGGAAAAGATGCAGAGAACAGCAAAACAGACAACCAAAGATCTGGAAGGGTTTCCATGTGTGACACAGGCTGGCATTTATCAGGCTGGGTAAGACACGACAGAGGGGGAATATGGCAATTGTCCATAAAATATTTGGTGGCCTGGAGAGGATGGATAAAGATCAACTGTTTACCACCTCTTCATACACAAAAACTAGAGTAAGCACTAGGGGCACCACTCAAAACAGCAGGATGAAAATTCAAAATGAGTCAAGGTGATGGGCCTTCAAACAAGGGGTGGACAACCAAGGGAAGTGCCTCTTTCATGGAACACTTTCACGGAAAAGAAACCCAGTAAGAGGCACTGAGCACAATGACAGCACATCTAGCTCAGAAGACACATGGCTGCATAAAACCGAAGGCTGTGGCAAGGTATCACACACGCTGCTCCAAGCAGATCCCATGGGCCACTGCCAGGGACAGAACACCTCGCTAGGAGCTGTGGTCTGACCCAGCACGGGTGCCCTTGTTTTCTTGTGTATCTGCAGGTACAAACCACTTCAAGGCAGAGGCACGTCAACTGGGAGTCTCTGACATGGCCTGGATACGTCCGTCCGTCCATCCATCAGACAACCGCACGGGGAGCCGTGACTGCTATCAGAGGAGCCACCCTCCTTACGGGGACACAGGCCCTCCACGCGGCCGCACCTCACAACCACTGACATAAACCCCATTTGCGTCCAAGCGCTGTGCGGCAGAGCTGCACCCAGTCCAGCAGCACACGCTCGCGTGAGGGAGCCACAGGCCCAGAGCTCATCAAGAGAGAAGAAAAGCAGGAAAGAAGGAGAGACTGAAATACCCAGAGAGACATAACAATGAATGGGAATAGCATGTACGTGCTCAGCAGCACCCAGATGTCTGGGTCTCCTGATTAAATAGCCTCAATTAAAAGTGGAGAGCTACAAAACCTAAATTAACTTTCTTCTCCTTATTGCAAGTCAGAAACTGCAAAGAAAAAAAAAAAAAAGGTAAAAAAACAAACTCTGCTATAAATGAAGCAAGTTTGGAGTGCCCACCTCTCTGAAGAGCGCGCCATAAAACTGAACAATATACGGGCAGTCACTGCTTCGCATTACTACATCAAGGTCCATCAGAAGCTGCTTCTGTTCTTTTTCATCCACT